GCAAAAGTACATGTCAGCAGCGCCATGCTCACGCATTTTTCCTATGCGTGTGCACACTTACATTCAAATGCGTGTATTTTTTTCTATTCGAAGAATCTGAATTGCGATTGAATTGTGCTGAATTATTAGCTGCTACTGAACTTCAAATTTGCAACTCTTTTTTCAAGCGGTGCAGTGGCTGCGTTTTTATTTTTTATTTTTTTTAATTATGAAGTAGCAGTGTTAGTAAAGTTGGTGCGCGTTGCGTAAAAATAGTGGGTTCGAATCCTGGTGTCGTACTGTCGATTTTTATTTGTTTCTTTTTTTGAATACTCGATACAAACTACGGAAAATATTAAAAAAAAACTCAGATACGACTAAGATCAGGGTATCTCCTAGTTGGGCACCCCGACTAGAGCTTTCTTACTTGTTAAGTTTCTATTAGTTATATATAAAAAGTAAAATGAATCAGAAGCGAGTCTAGAAATTTGTATAAATTGTCATTTATTATTTTATTTATAAGTAAACGGAGTACGGTTTGTGTCATGTATATGTATTATTGAAACAAATGTTAAAATGGCTTCAGCTCTTTTAATGGGTGTAGGGTATTCTAAATTAATTTTAATTCATCAATTTAAACGTTCATCAATATTTTATTATTTATTAATTAATTGTAATGTGAGCTTTTCAGTAGAGATTAATGGAGTAAAGCTACAAATATTAATAAAGACAACTGAAAAGTCCTACAATATATAATGCATGAATACCTAAGCATCGCTAAATTATATAATGAGATTTAAGATTATAATTGACTGTAAAATTCTCTTATCATTCCGTTATTGATGACTGCTCCATCATTAATTACTAAACCACATACTAACAATACGAAATATACATAAGTATATACATATACATCATACCACAGTCGAACGCAAGGGCCACGATCAGCTTCTGCCTTAGTTAGCGTCGCTGTTGAAGCCATTTGCGGATTGATGTTGTAAAACTATTGTAATATGTAATTTTTTAAGTTTATAATTATATTATATATACAACAATTTTTGTTGTATGCTTTTAAACCATATAAAACGTGATAAATACACAGATAAGCAGACAAACACACACACATACACAAACACACACACGCGTAATGTGCTTACATACAAATATTTCAAAATTACCTAATTGCCCCGTTACTTCTACGCACAAGCCGGGAAAGGGCTGCTGAAAAGAGAAGATCCGGCTACATTGCATGATATGTGTATGCCGCTTGTCTCTTTTCAACACACGCTCTGGCTTGCTAACGCTCTGTCGCACCGCATTTTTTTTCAGCTGTAATATGTGTATATGTGAGTGAGTTAGTGAATGAATGCAGTGAGTACAGCGTAAAAAGCTGAAGGCTAACGCAACTACGAGCAGCGCATGTTGTAGTTGTAGTTGTAGTTGTGAATCAAGTGAATGAAATTCAGCCCGTATTTTGAATGATATTTTCAAGTGTTTTTTGTTCGTCGTGTGTGCTCGTGGACTGCAAGTGTGTAAATAAAAATTATCAAGACTAATAGCAAAATCATCAATATCGATGTATATATGATATATATTTATACACTTATATATTTATATATTTACACTCATGCTTATATTTGTTACGCTTTTTCTATGAACCACGATTATTTTTATTTACACACTTACATAAATACATATGTTGATAACATTTATGATTAGATTTTTAAGTCAGCTCACAACTGCAAGCCAGATAGTGTAATATCCAAGATTGTGTAGCCGCTGCCGCAGTCGACATCGTCGCCGGCGTTGCGCTCTCCCTTGTATTTGCAATTACACAAGCGGCTCGAATTGTGCGCATGTGTCTATGCGTGTGTGTGTGTAACTGTGTGTTGTTTATGTGATTTGTATTTCGAAATTATCAATGAAATTGTAGTTTACATACAAATATGATGTTGTGTAGGTTCAATTGGAGTTATTGGCTATCACTCACAGGTACACGTTCTAATTTCATATTGAAACTGCATATGTATAAATGTATACTAAATGAATTATTGCTTTCCAACTTATGCGCATGTATTATGTGCATTTCACATTCACACAGGTATGTAGCTTTGCTTTAATCTGCCTCCTTATTAGAATTGACTTCACCTTCTATGCTTAATGCTTAAGCGATATCTTTTTCGGTTTAAGCTTCATATGTATATATTCCACATATATATATGGATATATTCCTGCTTACTGTTATGAATTTATATGTAAATACGAATTTTACAATTAAATATACACTCGTTTACAAAGGAAAACTCTATTTTCCGCAGATTAGGGTTAGAGCAACAAATTTTGATGAAGACATTGTATGGGGCGGACCATATCTTCCTATTCAATTCATTCTTGATTTTTGTTGTTAAAGGTAATAAGAGGATAGAGTTATAAGTATATCAATTTTTAAACTAAGAATCAACGATATAATTATTAGGCTGAAGAATTCAAATAGTTCAGAGCAAGGACGATATGCATACAAGTATGCATTGCTTTAAAATACAAAGAATTTAAATGCGTTCGAATAAACTTTTAAAATGCTGTTTGCATTATCTCAATACGCTTTACAGTTCACTTCAGGCACGGCCAGAAAAAAAAAACTGGAAATAAATTGGGGATATTTAAAATGACCAAAACAATAAAAACGATTGCGTTTCAACGAAACTAGCGAAGTAAATCTGTATTTGTGAACATAAACAAATGCATATACAAACATAGTGTATACATATAAATGTATACATGTACATAAATATACAGCTGTGCATATTTTAGAGCTTTTACTCTAGCAGAGCTTTCCAGTCGTCTCACTTGTCAAATTTGACATTTGTTGCTGAACCGTTCATAAAATTGGCGCCAGACAGATTGGCATTTTTCACGAGTAGCAGGCTTTGTTGATATGATTTATTAAACATTAAATTTGCTTTAATGAATTAATTTGATTTGATTTCGACAGTGTAAGGAAATTACCCGCGCATACACATAACAGTACTGTATTTGTGACTTCGAGAGCGAGAACACATTGTATGTGTGTGTATTTGTGTAAGCGCCACTTGAGTGGCGCCAAAGAGGCGCATTGCACAACGTAATTTTCTCAGTGAGAGAAGAAAATGCAGAAAAATAAAAAAACGGTAATTATAATAACGACTAGTGCAACACCAATAACAAAAATAACAAAGAGAACGATATGTCTAGTAGCAGCAACAAGAGCCGCAGCAGACTGAATCTACACGCATAAAGTAAAACGAAATACATATTTACAAACTGCGGAAAAATACATAACATCAACACAATAACAACAGCTTTACTGTTAACTTTACTATGGCAAAGCTAAAAAGTTGTTAAGCTATTAGAATCTGCTTAAATTGTTTCATATTGCTTTGACCGCTCTGGTGCTACACACAAGCAAACAAAAAATCACTAAAGCAAAAGTCAGCAGTAATAACAACCGCGAAAAAAGCACGACACATAAAAGAGCCTAATCAAGATCCAAAACGCCGCAATAAAGCAATAAACAAGACACAATATTTATTTTTTTTCATACCCAAGACAAAAGGAAATAAGAGCAGCCCGATTTCAAGCTGCTGTTACGTCTAGCCGTCTCTCTCTCTCTCTGTCTCTCTCTCTCTGGGGCTCTTAGTTTCAGTCACACAAGCACACGCACTCCGCTAAGCCTAAAAACATAACGAGACAGACAAACAGACAAACAGACGCAAGCTAAATGAACATGAGCAAAGCAATATAAACAGCGCCCGCATCCTAGAATGAGCTAGAAGGAACATGACAAAGAAAGAAACCGATGAGAAGAAAGCATGAAAAAAAACCTAAGCTACTACGTACGCAGTTGATCAATGCTTGAATTCTTGAATTAGCAGACACATACCTATATATGGGCATACAAATGTATTTGTATATATGAAACTATTTTGAATTTATTGGTTTTTCATGCACATTGCTATTATTGTTATGATTTTTCATAGTCGACTAATATTTTCTGTCATATATATATATCTATAACATATGTTATATATATATATATAAGCCTATATACTATATACATACACACCAAATTCATATATGCTCACAGACCAAATGAATGCCAACCACACTGGTCAAGTTGTGCGAGCGCCACCAACTAAACAGCGTATACTGCGTGAATGTGTGTCTATATGAAGTTCAACTCACAGTAATGAGAGCGCAAATTTTATTCAATTGGTTTTTGCTTTTGCTTGATTAACGTTTAGACACACATACACAGCTAATCGCGCAGTAAACGTACGTTTAACAATGGAGATTTAATACTCTCTCTTTCTGATATTTAGATTATAATTAATTCATTACAATTACAAAATTACTTTTATTGTTATTTGTTTTTATAATCTGCGAGCGCCGAGATGTTGAAATATAATAATAGACAATAATAGAAATCTATTGAACGATTGAAAGTCAACAAAAATAACAAGACTCCAAAAATATTTTATAATGCGTAATACTCGATACAATATGGACAGCGACCAACAATATGTTAAAATACTACACAAGTATATTTCAAATTTTATGGTTTTATCAAAACTTAAAAATATAACAGAATTTGCACAAAATACTATGAAGTCAGATCCGATTTTCATGTTCTAGCGTTTCTGTTAAGCTACAAGTTAACAAGTAGGTCGACAAATATAATTCTCTTACAATTTTAAGCTTCTCACTTTGCACTATCATAGCCTCTCTGCAGCTCTATCAATAACACAAACAGCTTATTCGCTCTCTCACCTACTCGTTCGCTTATAATCGGTTAGGCATAAAGCTGTACAGTGGCTGCTTCGGCACGCACAGCAACAACGATAATCAACCACTGCAACAGCAGTAAGCCTAGCGAAGCTCGCGTGTCCAAGTTCCACATTAACAGTTGTTGCAACATTTCTGCTTAGGGTGAGATGATGGCGCCTCTGTCTAGCCCCAAATGTACCCTACATTGACAGCCGCACCTCTCTCTCTCTCTCTCTCTCTCTCTAATTTACAGATTGCTTTTGTTTATAGTTGTACTACAGAGCACGACGGACGTGGTGTAAAAATAAAACAAGAAGATCAGCAGACTTCGAGAGACGTCGACGTGACGCTGCCGCTGGCGTCGCTGCCGTTGACAGCTGAGGCGAACGATTTACATCGATCACACATTTTATGTCACATGAAGAGTCGCAGCAGCAACAACTACAACAACAACACCAATCGTCGAGGCGAGACAGTTGGGTGACACAGACACTGCCAACGAGTGTGTGTGTGCGACGGGCTACGAGGCCATTAGATGATCGTTGCCGTCTAAATTTAAATGTCTGTGCGTTTCAGTTGCAAGGCAAAAATAAATCTACATAAGTAAAGCTAAACGTAAACAACAGAATGAAAATACAACAAAAAACGAAAGAAATTAAAATAAACAAGTAAAAATGATGGAGTCGGGCGCGACCAACTGCATAATACTTGTTCGCGGTGCCAGAGCAGTTATGTATTCTAACATTTATATTTTCAGATGAGGCACACACCACCAGATCTGTCTGTCAAAGAAAAATCGGCGATCTTAAATCAAAAGCTACGGAATATACCCCTACTAGTCGTGGATACATCATTTTTGGCTAACAACAAGAGCAGTTCTGTAGTCAAAGTGGATCAGAATATTTATTTATTTGTAATACTTGCTGATTCTAATTGTAAAACTGTGCCCTCAATGTAGTTTGAGACAATTTCCATCTGAAATCTAGAGTATATATATATCTGTCTGTCAAAATCCAATAAACTCTTTTCACTTCGTGAACAAGTAAAAAACAAGTATTGGATGCAAAAACAAAGAAGAAACGACTTCTTTGTATTGCCCGATCACAAGATCGTCGCGACCGTCGATCTAATTTGCTTTCTTTTTTTGGCGCTGTGAATGCCACAGTGTCGAAGGGTTGCACGGTTATCACGGAAAACTAGCAACTCGAAGGAGGCTAGCCATTTTGAATATAGGCCAGACATAGAAAGCAGAATGCCACTATGATAGGTCCAATCAGCAGATATTAAGGCAGCTCTAGTCAAGGGTATCCGACTAGGACATACCGTGACCCCAATCGATCTGCCTACTCCATAGCCATATCCAGTAATCGAGCTGATTACGTCTGGGCGGCATGCATCGCGTCTACCAACACCTCTTATTCATTGCTCGTGCAGTGGAAAATTAGAACTGTCAACTCAAACAGCATAAATTTCAATGTATGTATATGTGCACGTGTAAGGGGCTAAGGTGCCAAACGTTTTGTTTAATAACTTTTGTGTTACTTAACTACTATATATTCTTTCAGAATACTTGTCAGTTTAGTTATATATAAATATATATATATATATATATATATATATATATATATATTACAATTTTTCGATATAATAATGCATAATGCATACCTTTAATTTATATAAATAGAATGCAGATATTATTAAGAATATGATTCATTAAAAGTTATTGAACTATTTTTAAAACAAGTTATTATTTTTATATATTTTCACATACCTATTTTATTCACATTGTCCGCAAGCCACCCCCTTATGATCTATCTCGTGTGTGTCTCGTCACGTACCCCGCCCCTGTCACATCGTCCCACCCTACACCGTTACTTCCCCTCCGCCACCAGCCAAATCCTATTTAATTAGTTTCTGCATCAAAAATAGCAAAATTTTCTGCTCTACAAAAGCAGCCTCTATGCATATTCATATAAATATATATATATATATCTGTTCATAAAATAAATATCACAAGATACGCACCCCTTAAAGGAAAATAGCAATGTCGAGTCTGCGTGTCGAGTGCGCTTTCTTAATTTGATTCTCGTGTTGCAGGTTACGATCAATTTCAATTTAATGATTATAATTAAAAATGTTTCTAGCTGCAAAATACATTTACGGTGGAGGGGGAGACATACACAATATAAATAAAAGGAATAGAAATTTGAGCTCCACTGCAAACGAAAACTAAAAACAAACCAGTGTGCTCTAGTCGAGACTTCCCTACAAGATTGCTGATCCTGATTCATTACAGTCTCGAACACTTGCGGTATACCACCTTAGCTTAATAATAAGGAAATGAAGAATTATCGCAAAAATAATAAACATGTACCGAGTATACATTCCAGTCTCTAGCTATCGGCGTGGCTAAATCAAGAATATATATGCTTAACGGGGTCTGACCTTCCTCCTATTACATTCTGTTTCAAAAAAACATTATAGCCTGATCCAATTGAAAATGCGAATTCAGACATGACAGCTTACTCTCCAAATGCCACGGCCTCATAGTGAGGCAACACTCTAACATAAATGGAAACACTCAGAAACAGCTATCGTAATGCAAACTTTTCCAATGGATGACGACGGCGTCCACGATAGTTAACTATGAAATGCAATAAAGAACATTACAATTTAACTCGTATGCACATTCCTTGCCTCTTTTCAGATAGAGGCGGAAACAACGACAACAGTGACAGTCATTATGCACGTTATCATATAATCATGCACAGATCTTTACTTTTGTCATTAGTTGGCCAGCTGTTGTTACTACAAAATGGGCTTATTGTTGAGTCTAGCGAGTCGAATCAGAACTGATTGAAGATGAAGAAAATTAATATGAAGCCCATAAACGATTTACAACTTTTCCAACACTCTAACTAAAAATATTGCTATCAAACTTAATGCAACGTAGATTAGTTTGTTATATTATGGAGTATGAAAAGAAACAGATTAAAATATATTACTTAAAGTTTAACCAACACTTTTAAAAATATGTCCTAAGCACAAACTTTAAACAACATGGCTCAATCCCTGTGCCAATTGGGCTAAGTACCGACAAATGCTCATATGTTAAGTACTCAGCTTAATGGTTAACACTTGATATGGGGTTTCAGCAATCGACTCACTTGCAAGTGATTAATGGGAGAGGCGCAGCAACAGCAGCACCACCAGCATCGCCAGACTTCGACAGCTGGACAACTTAGCTTGTACGGTTTGTACTTTTAGCGGTTTCTCGACTTTTATGAGCAATTAAAAAACTATTATTACCCAAGCTGGAAGGCATCAAGCTATGGCGTTGTAATCCTCTTCCCCGCTCTCCGTTCTTCAGCACATTTTTGTTGAGCTCTTTTTTTCAATAGAGCATCGTTCATCCTCTGTAGGATGCGCGCATGCGCCTTGCTTGGCATGCGGAAATACCGCTGTTTCTAGATATTTTATTTGTGTGCATATATATATATATATATACATATACACGTAGCGCCGCTACATATATGTGTAAACTTATGCACGAGTATATTGGTTGTGTACTGTCCGTCTTGACGGCTATCCGCTTGTATGTTTGTCCGTATGGACGCAAACCACTTCGTCGCTATTGAAGCCGAGGCTTGGAATGTGGAATATGTAGTTGTTGGTGAGTACCCCCGTCTAATAAAAACTTTCCCGATACGCTCACTAGGTCAAATCAAGAAATACAATATCTGATTTATTAAAAATGCTAGAGACTTGAAATGTAGAAAATAGGCTTTATTTGACAAAAATGCTAAACTCTATATCTTCTTAAGTCTAGAGAGAGCTATCTCTCTCTCTCTCTCTCTCTCTCGCTCTCTCTGGTTTAATTCTCCGAGATACTTTCCCTTTGCCCCAACTCGATGTAAAGACAACTCATTAACACACGCCATTCACATAACTTAAAGCGTGCTTTCTACATTATACACAGCATCCACAGACAGACAAACGGACAGACATAGAGCAAGGGCCATCGACTTCGATGACTGCTGCGCTGCTTCAGCTTTGCATTCTGGACTGCTCAGACAGGAACAGCAACTACTCGGCTGCTCTGTCTCTCTCTTCCGCACTCCTCTACGTTGTTTATCGTCACACAACCATCACAACTTAAAAAAGTGAGAGCTGCAAATTTCTATGGCATGTTAACTGCCTATGGTATTGAGTGCATAAAGCAAATGTTGTCCGGAGATTGCGGCATAAGGGACTAGAGTGAATATGTATGAGACTGAGTGAGTCAGTGTGAGACTATTTTATTGTGTATCTATGCACGTACGCATGTATGCATTTAGGCATGTGGGCATATAACTACGTAAACACTGCTGTAATTAATCATTGGTGGCCATATGAGGTCTCCTTTCATCCCCCATCACATTATTTCTATATTGTCCCCTAGTGTCACCAATCAAGCGGACCCGCAGTTTGGTTTTTATTATTATGAATTGTGTTAATCGTTACATTATTTCTTTTTCGTTTGTTACATCATTCGTTTGCTTACATGCATAAAAAGTGACATAAATAGCCGACGCTACGCAGCAACGACTGCGACCGTGACTGCGACTGCGACTACGACTGCGGCTGCGACTGTGATGGCAACTGCAACATAAGTCTGCCATCAATCACAAGACGGAAATAAATATAGGAAGCATGCACACATTTGGAGTGGAGCTGCAGAACAAATCATGGTGTAATAGAACAACTGTAGGTGAAGGGAAGAAGGGTGGTTGGGCTATTTCCATGTGCAGCGGAAGTGCGTCTAATTGAGCCACTGACAGAATGCTAACCATCTCACGCATGTGCTAAGAACAACAACTTTAAAAACAAACACACGGACAATCCCATCTATAGATTATAGCAAGGTAGTCGGAAGTGCGAATCTAGAAGATACCCATGAGCCCTATGATCAATTTTCCAATCATTCTGCGCTTTTTGTGCACATATATCTCTCTGTCTATCCTATTTAGCCATATCCCATCAATATATATATATATATACATATATATTGATGGGATATCTCCCTCTAATTTCCCTACCCTCTCTCCTTAATATAAATTTCTCTCTTTTTCATCCATATATCTCTCCGCTCATCTCTCCCAATGTGACGTGCCAGTGGCGTGAGTGGGGGACATACTCTAGAAAGTTTTGCTGCTGGAGCTGCAGCAGTCGCCGTTGTCATCGTCTGGAAAGT